TTTTCTGTATTCCAATAAGACATCATTGTTGAACGTCTAGTAATACCCATTTCTAATAAAACAGCAATAAATGCTTTCATTTCTACTATGGTAACAGGTTTCCATCTTTTTGCACGTGAGTTACGCTTCAAAGTTTTGTTGGAACTCAAAAACTGATGAGCGTACCGGTTTGTTTCAGTAACCATTGTAGAGAGTAGGGAAATCAAAAAAAATATGGAGAAATATTTAATTGGTTTTGCTTCAGGATCAGGCGGATGTTGTGGACCAGGAACCTCCGTAAAATAATACTTTTCATTCGAATACCATTAATTCAAATCCAAAAATTCATCAACAGAGGCATGTTCGGTGCAGTCTCCACTTAGCTCATCATCGCTGTTCTCGCTAATAGCGCGTAATCTCTTTTTAGGAATAATATCACTTCCGCTATCACTTTCGTTGTCACAAATTTTCACTTCATCACCAGTCCACGATTCTGAGTCAGTTTCACTCCAAATATTAGGCATTGTTTTCACCGTTATTTAACAGAAAAAAAAAAGATTTGAAATATGTAATATAATTAGAACAATTAAAAATCGTGGCCTGAGTGTTGATGTCCCGCGTCTGAGGCCGTGTTGAGCTGGAAGCTGAGCGAGCTGCGGAGGAATAAGGGGAATTCTAGTATCTGCCGCGGTAATCTCATCAGCCCGCCAAGATGGCGATGCAAGCGGCCAAGAGGGCGAACATTCGACTTCCACCTGAAGTAAATCGGATTTTGTATATAAGAAATTTGCCTTACAAAATCACAGCTGAAGAAATGGCTTTTCAGAAGATGGACACAAAGAAGAAGGAAGAACAGTTGAAGCTTCTCAAGGAGAAATACGGCATCAATACAGATCCACCAAAGTAAACTTTTTCTGCATTTTTATTTTGGACTGAAAACCCATGAATCACCACCCTACCCTTTTTCGATTTTTAATTAATACTGAGTATTCCAGTTTCTTGAGGTTCAGAATTTCATTCCTGAAACCGTGATACATGTTAGAATATATTGTTAGTAAAGTTGCAGCTTTTTTTAAATAATGTCAGCTT